ATCAAGATACACTCACATACCAAAAATCAGCTCAATATCTGCAAGCGTTTAGGAGAAAAGTGCGGAAAACCAAGTGGGACAGACTGACAGACAGACAGAGGGACAGACAGACAGACAGACGGACAGACAGACAGACAGACAGACGGACGGACAGACTCAGAGGAAACCTATAGTCCCCTCCGGTTTCACCGGTAGGGGACTAATAACTCTAACACACATGGACATTAGATAATGCTATATTGGTTATGGTTCTTGTACATCTTGTATCATCTCTATTTTCTGGAGAATCAATGCGGCCCCCCCTGAACCCCCACCTATGGGAGGGGGACACCGTCTCCTATGCCCTCCCCCTTCGGCCCTACGGGCCTCAACCCCCCCCCCCACCCCCCGAACTTCTGGGTCCGCCACTGATGCCCTGAATTCAAAATATAAAATAAACCTTCAATGAAGTCATTTCTTAGTGATTGAATTATTCCAAACAATTACTTACTGGAGGTAAATTTACAACATGATAAAACTCACAAATATCTGTCTCATAAGATTACCTTCTCTTCATAAAAAAAATGTCAACACAAAAAATTGCCTTTTTCACGCAATGGAATTATTTTGTCATTATTAAAAAAAATATTAGTTTTGATCATTTTACTCCGTTGGTCTTCTGTATTGATAAATGGTAATCCTCTGACCCAATAATAAAAAAGTGTTCTATTCATATTGACATTTTTGCTATAGTAAACTAAATATATACGAATTTTTTGTCGCAATTGAGACAACTTATCGATACACACAATTGTTACCGACAAATCTTTTTTTAAAATTATACTTCAATTCAATGAAACCCCGACGATCTTTTATTTTCTATAAAACTTCTCATATAGTGGTATGAGCAGATTGATATTGAAATACTTATCCCACTTAACTTTTTTTTCGGGTTCACTTCGAAAAAATATGACAGGTATCTGTATAATTTTAGTATACAACACAAATAAAAAAAATTACAGCAAAACCCCGCGTATAATTAATGAAAAAAGTGAATATAACGAGCAGTGATCGATAAAAAAAAATACAATCAATACAAATCTGTGAACAGGGCATAAAATACGGACCCCGAAAATTCCAGAGGTGGGTTCAGATGCCTAGGATGAGTAAGCATCCCCTGTTGACCGGTCACACCCGCGTGACCCCTATATATTGATCAGTTGGACGGAATATTTCTGGTCAAATTTATCATAAAAATAATATGTCAGTCCAAATACGAACCATGTATGATAGATTATACATTGTATTGTTAATTAGGTCATTATAACGACAATAGAATTTACAAAATGCATGCTTACTTTTAACGAGGTTGTTAAAAATTGATATGATCGTACTCATCAGAGCATGCTCTTGAGTATCGAATAAGTTGCGAGAAATAAACACCATATGTAGATGGTAGCGGAATATTACTACATGACGATAGAAAAGCTGAGGTCATCTAGTTTGTCATAAAATTTAGTTTTTAGTTTGCCCTTTATCGTCTATTGTCAGTAAAACATCCAAATATGAAACAGATCTGGCAGTCTCAGTTGTGTCTCTTATTTCGAGTTCACTGGGATATATATCGAGTCGACATATAAATAGAAGTATTTAATTTGTTAATCGTTGATTTTGTTAATTGAACTATTGTTAATTGATAAAGCTTCGTCGATTGGATATATCAGTTGAAAGCCATAGCAAGGTAAATGCTTAAAATGTGCAACTCGTTGAGTTCATTTCGCCAATTGATTCCATTCATCATTTTAACTCCTTCAGTGATGTACTCCGTGATCGGAAGGTCGTGTGTTCGAATCATGACCGCGACTGACCTAAAAAAATAGGTAGCAACTGTTCCTTCGCCAAGCGCTCGGCACTTTGAAGTGCAAGTTGCGGGTCCTTCGGATGAGACCTTAAAAACCGAGGCCCCGTGTCACGGTAGGCGTTGGCACGATAAAGAATCCTCACTGCTCAATGGCCCTGAGTGCCGAGTAAAGGTCTAAATTTGAAGCCCTTCACCGGTATATGGTGACTTCTCTATATGAGTGAAAAATTCTCGAACGGGACGTAACATACAATCAATCAATCAATCAATCAATGATGTACTTTACCTGTATAATAACTTGTGTAGGATTAGTATATGGGACAACCAAACGACCAAGACTAGAGCAGACCGGACTAGTCACTCTTTTTACAGGACATGTATTTGAAAAACAAGGTACAAGCACACTTTGTGAACTTTCGGTATGATTAATATGTATTCAATAAATCCACCGATAATGAACTTAAAAAAAAAAAAACTCAATTGACAACAGAAATATGTGCAAAGGTGACAGATCTTTTTAGTACAGATAGATAAATAAGACTATATTACATAAGTGAGAATCTGACTGTAATGAAATATAATTTGTGGACTTTAATTAGAAATACTGTAATATACATTTGGCCAAATATACACTATTGAGGAGCTTTGTTCTCATTTGTAATACCCACTCATGTTGTCGCTTTGCACTCGACAAATAAATACTCTTTCAAAATAAAAAACAAAACTACTTACTGAACACATATCTTTCACAATACCGGGATCTCAGATCTTTACCAGGAGTAGGAAATGCTGCCTTTCATATGCACAGTATTTAAACCACAAATCCAGACAGAATTTATGGACTGCAAGCCTTAAGGGTGATGCTGGACCCCTCAATTTTTGTGATTATTTTAAGATTACCTGCATTTAATGTCAAAATTAAAATATGCTTTTAATAGAATCACTTTTTTTAAAAAAGAGAAACCAATTTAGTCCTCTGGGCCTTGGATCGTGAAACAGATATAGACTTGAGTCAAAGAAGAATTTTAATTTGCATAATCTTACCTGATCTTCGCTGAACAGCTTATCTGTAAGTTTTGTTTCAGGTATACTGGGAAAAAAACCAAAAACAAAAATAAATAAATAAATAAATAAATAAATAAAATAAAATAAATGTTTCCTACATAAATATATGTTAAAAGTTCTACTAAGCGGGCCGAAAACCGCTCGGTGAAATGTTGGACCGCTTTAACGTTTTAAGGTCACACTTTATTCCTCAATACGTATTGAATTCGAACCAGCGATTAAGGATCATCTTCATTTTCCACTGCTCTCAAAAATGCACCACGTTGGCTCTAATCCTCAACAAGTGGAAGACAAGTGGAAAACTTTTATATAATACAGGGTTTTTGTATTCCTGTTATGAAGGTAGGCATGCGCCCTGTTTTACTCACTCTGTATCATAACCCTTTATTGCGCTGAACAAAAGAAATACGTGTAGTATCGATAAACAAAACACATTTGGTTTTCGAACGTACATGAAAATAAAAGAAATACTTCCACAGAATTCAACAGTAGGGGATAAAGAAATAAGGAACTCTATGAGAACTACCGAAGGTATTGTCTATTGTAAATAGAGATTAATATATAGCAATATCTGTATCACACCCCATATCAACGTGAGACTCCTATAAGATTGATATTGGTAGAATAAGAGGGTTAAAAGGGAGTGTGATACAGATGTGCACATGTATATTGGTTGTATTTATTATATATTTGAATTAAATAGTGTCCACAATTCATATAACTCCGGCAACTTCATTGAACTCCGGCATCTCGAACACTGATATCTCGAATACCATTGATACTCGTATGTCGAAGTGATCTGGAAGTCCCAACGTTTACCACATATTCTGTAAGTATTTGATCCTTGATATCTCGAATCCTCGGATATCACGAAGTTTTTTCTTGGTCCTTTTGAGTTCGAGATAACGAGGTTTGACTGTAATTTATGCGTTTTCAAATAAATATTTGAATGTATTCTTCCATTCTTGTTGAATTTCCGTTTCTCATCATTTGATTTAAAAGCAATACATTTAGCAATAATAATAAATCAAAGAAAATAATTATTCTGAATCATTAATAGAAAAATATCATTAATAGAAAAAGATCTGGCTCAGAGGTACTCTGAATGAAAAGTACAGCGGTGTTCCGGAAAGGTGTAATTATTAATAAAGGGTGTGATAAAGATAAAATCTCCCATGGTTTGTAGTTAGATATGATTCTTATTACATTTTCAACAGTGAAATACTGAGATTTATTTATTAAATAAATGATATTCTCCCATAGTGTGAAAGGATACCAAAGTGATATTCATTCACAGTGTGAAAGGATATCAAATTTAGTAAAAAATAATTTCTGGACTATCATAAGATAGATGTAGTAATTAAACCGTCTTGACAGAGTCTAAAACTGTCAATTTCTTCCCAAATATGTTGCTAAATCCATGTTACAATGTTTTCAATCTCACAATTGCTATGCTATGACGTCTCAACTGCTAAACTATGACGTCTCAACTGCTAAACTATGACGTCACAGTCTGTGTTTAAAAAAAAAAAACAGAGGCAGAGGGAAAATTAAAAAAAAATTTAATAAACAGAAAATTCAATGTTTTTTTTTAGTTGGATATGGAATTTATTTCACTCGTGAGACAGGAATTTTTTTTTTATATATTTTCACTCGTGCTTCGCACTCAAGAAAATATTTAAATATCCGGTCCCACTCGTGAAATAAATTCAATATCCAACTACAAAACAATGAATATCCTCTATTTATCCAACGAGTTGTGTGTTAAACACACAACGAGTTGGATAAAAAATCATATCTAACCATGCACAAACCATTGGAGACTCTTTTTATCGCATGTTTTACACAGCTATTTTATGTTTTACGCTGGTTTATATGTAAGTAAATCCACAATATTTAACTTCATCAAATTCAAGCAAAAAGCCCCCCCCCCCCAAAAAAAAGTGAAGTCACAACCGCGCACTCATGGATATGAAAAACGATATCAGATGAGCTATATCCACTGTATAAAGGAGTAAACATGTGATAAAGGATGAAATTTTGATCTTACTTGCAAGTTGTCCTCTGAACATCTAAACAGCTAAAACACAAAAAGTTTGATGATATATTTTATTTCTAATGCTATCAATAACATAAATGATGTTGTTGGGTCATTTATAACATTTTTGGGACTTCGATTAATATCTTGGAAAAGATTCCTTTTCCCAATGTTTATTTCTCATCTGATCGTTTTGCTGCACTGCTACATGTTTTAATCAAATTCCCTCGAAGACTTTTGGCGAGCCCTCGGTACATAACGCCGCTTGGGTAGAAATGATTCGTCGCCAACAAGTATCGGGATTCCGCTTGGAATACGACAAGCCCTGACACAATCTCGAGCATCAAACCCGGCCTCAATACAACTATTGCACAAAACAAGACCAAGTCTGTTTGCTCTCATAAAGTTTTTACCGTGGTTGACCCAGATGCTCCAGTCGGGCTCGATTCCCATTTCAATGACGTTTTTGCTCCTCAACAAAAGATCTTCCCTCACTGGAGAGAGTCTCATATACTTGTCAGGACAAACCAATTTCACATCCCCATTACCATTTTGTATGATCTTGATCTGATTTATCTTAACTACGTAGCCTCCTGATATGTGTCTAATGGGGTGGTACTGAGCGTTTGCTACTAGATCCATGCAGGACATGACAAGATTTTTGTCAGGAGATTTGTCCGAGGCAAATAAAATGCCAACAGAGCTATTTTTCGACAGTTTTGAGAAGTTAGGTTTCTGTTCCTCTTTGATTTTGTCGGTGTTGAATTTGTAGCTTGTATTTGCGTTGCCAAAGATTATTGCTTCGTCTGACATCTTAACTCGACGATTTAGATAAATGTCGGCTTCAACCTCAGATACAGCATGCGATATTTTCCCAGCTGGATGAACAATAAAGTTATTATCTCCCTTTGCGTTCGATGCAATAACAAGATTCTTTTGGTGACTAACCAATCGTATTGCTCGATCAATCGTCATCTCAACTGATACATCGTGTTTTAAAAGAACCGTTATCAACCCAAACTGAGATACATACACAGCTGGGTACTGAAAGTTGGTGTTGAGTCGGACTGGCTCCATGAACGGTTGGTAAATGTCGGTGGCAAACAAAGGTTGTTGCAGTGTCTGGTAAGGGTTAAAAGGCGTCAGTCCTCCATCTGGTTCCCCATATGAAGGAAATTGATAAGTAAACTCGGAACAAAAATTATCAGTCTGTGGAAAATCCGATAATTCGGTGAAATTATCCCAATTCTCTGGTTGTTTTTCTTCCTCGTTATTTATCTCCTTAATTTGACTGACCTCCGATGTCTCTTCTTGCTGAATACCACCGTACGGAGTGTTAGAGTGGTTTTCTGCCTTGACGATATCGGGTTTTTCGCAAGTTTCTGTAATTTCTGCTGTGTTCTGGTTAGTTGAAAGGGATTCATCGTTAACAAATTGTTGATTCGCTAAATTTTCATTCACTAGTACTGGATTTTCTTGATGGACATAGTAATAACTCCCGTTTATATAATGTGGATTGTAGCAAGGCATCTGAAAGTAGACCATATTTCCGGGTGATTCAGGGTTAAAATCTTGGTATGTTTGGGAAACATAACAAGTAGCACCAGGTTCAATGTATTGTCCATTGTATGTTGTTTGAAAAGATTGAATATTTTCAGACGAATCGCCGAGCTCTGGATATATGTTCTGTTGAAATGATTCGCCTGGTACTTCTGAGTTATCTGTCGATTTTTTGGGTGCACTTCCAAGATCATTTAAAACATCGTTGCACTGGGCAGTGGTTTGTTCATCCTCTTTGTTACTTTTCTGCTCATTCTCACTGCTAGCTTCATCTGTAAATTTCGAACTTGATGTTTCTAATCCAATGTCTTCTGACTTTTTGCATACACCATCGCCATCTTCATCGCTAGAACTGGAATCTGGATTTATGACAAACCTCTCTGAACACATGCTTTCATAATAGCTGTCCGGCAAATTGTCAATTTCCTTGTAGGAGGTGGGCAAATCGTCTGCTGGCGTTGGAAGTTCCTGGAAAGTTGGCGTGACAAACTGTTGTGATTTGAGTTTTTGGTCAGTTAATGGATCGTAATTCTGGCCCCCTTCATTTGCAGAGTGGGAGTTAGAAATGTCTGAGAGTTCTTCTGATTTGATTTCTTGTAAATCATTACTTGCTACTTGGATGCTGTCATCAGCCCAAGAAAATCTTGCTTCTTCGTCTTGTGCATGCTGTAAAGGTTCCTCGATTTTTGAAACAGTCACTTGTTCTTCTACAATTTCCAAGGCTATTTGACAAGCCACGACATTCAAATTCGACAAATTAAAATTACCCTCTTCCATTGTTTTGATATTTCCCTCTGTTTGTAATGTAATGACGTTGAAAAAAAAAATGTAGACGTTGTTGCTAAGCAATACACTTTACCTGTGTGCGTTTAACGGGTAAAACACACGTTCAAAATCCCACTTTACGTTAAATAACGTTGTCTCAGTATAAACAATTTAATTTTTTTTTAACTTTATTTGATAAAAAATGTAAATATCTTTTTATTTGAAAATCATTTATTTAACAGTCAACTAGATATCTATATATTAACACAAGTTAATAGGTCACTGGTTTGAAATGAGGCATAAACACGAATAAATTTGGCCCGATGTATCATCTTCATCCTTCCGACTCCCCAGTATCTAGAGGTAGAAAAAGTCCACAAGTCTGCGCACAAACGCTGCAAACAAAATATCAGACGCTTCTACCAGAAATTTTTGTATAGCCAAGAGAGACAGTTTTATAGGTAAAATACCATTCTTAATTGACCGTTCTGATATTTTGCCCTGTGATGTTTCACAATCAGGAACTTGCGTCTGTTGTATGCTGTATATGTGTATTTTTTGAGATGCGGAATGTAAAAAAATGTAGATTAAAATATCAAGATTAATCTTTTGGGGAAGAAGGGATGGCACTTTAATTTCTTATGAATTTTTATTAAGGAACACATTTTAGTGTTGTGGTCTAAATGAAAATGTAGCAGAAGAATCTTATATTTCAGAGAATGAGATTAGATAGAATGTTCTATCGTTAAATTAAAATGATATACAGTATATGGCCATAAGCAGTCTAGACGAACTCCAAAAACAGCGTATCCGGAAGTAAGAAATTGAGACTGAAAAAGACTCCGAAAATAGAGTCCGCGCATGTGCACACGCATAAAAAATGGCGATTTTTCAGCAAAAATGATGGGTCTACAAAAACTGTCCGTGCAGAGTTTTGGAAAGTATGGCAATTATGCCAGTACAGTACTCAGAAATGCTAAATAAAAGACTTCCGAAGAGATCGTATTTGTCAGATGCAAAAAAGGAGATATTTACTTTCAAAGTTCACGTTTGAAGTCTGATCAATTACAGAGAAAATGATACGTTTGAGAAGTAAGGCCAAAAAAAATAATAGTCTTGTTTCCTGCTACCAGCCTGAAAAAAATAGGGTCGGTAGATAGGAAAATTATTTTATTTTATATTTTTATTTCTTTTCTGACAGCATTTTTTGGATATGAACTAATACAAGATAAAATTAAACATGTCACAGGTCAATATTGTCTTTTAAAATTGAATTTCATGTCTTTTTATGCACAATTCAAGTGGTATTTTATGAAAGTCCATATTTAAAACAAGAATTTCATGAAATGCTTGTTTTATGCTAACACGAAAACTGATTACGGTGACAGAACGATGAAATTCCGGAAATTCTCGATTTTTTTTCTTCCAAAACTTAAAAAAAACTTTAGGGTCGGGTGCAAAAAAATAGGGTAGGTCGGGTAGCAGGAAACAAGACTATTATTTTTTTTGGCCTAAATATGCATCATAAAAGGGATATATAAGAAAATGGGACAATATATATTGAAACTGCTAAAAACTTGACTGAATTTACACATAAATTAGCATTCCAGTGTTTTATTTGTGTACGACATCTGAATTGAACGCGTAAGTTCTTACCATCGTTATTTACCAATTTTTTTAGTCACATACGAACATATATTATTATGAAAACTTCTTTAAAACTATTATCTATCAATATGAAAACTTTAAAAACCACTCTTCTAGAAATTAAGGTCACAACATGTCTTCTAAAAATGAACCTGTGAATATCTCTGTTCCATGGTGAAAAATACACATTTCTGATTAAAAAAAAATACAAGCTGTGTGTCTTCAAAAACAAATAAAAGCACCTTTATTGTAGGAACGACATAAGATTTAAATCAAGGAGACAATAAATCAAATTAGAAAATAATTCTTACCGGCAGTATTGAATTCGATGTCGTATATCCAATTTACTAATATGCAAGAGTTTGAAGCGACAAATAAGTCAATATCCACAAAATAATTTAATAAATGTAATTATCCATTCAATAAAAATTAAAATAACGTCACAATGCACTAAATACAGTCATTATGCAGGCGTATATTTGAAGAAAGCGAACGACATTCCATCGTTTGTTTACATCGGACGCCATTTTGCCGCAATGCATGATGGAACCAAAGACTTCGTTTTCGGAGTTCACGCCGTTTTTGGAGTTAGTCTAGACTGATTAGTGAGTCATAATTGAATTTTTACACTATTTATTTCATTGAAAAAAAACAATTTTATAAAAACTTAGTGTAAGGTCAATTTTAGCCCAATTTCCATGATTTTTTTCACTGAATCATGCAGAATTGTTCAAATTTTCTTGTCTTAATATGTTATGCTAAACAAAATGATCAATACACTGGTCATTGAGAATAATTTATGAAATCGTCAAAACAAAAACAAAAAACTCTAGCTTCAAATAACTATGATTTCTTAAAGGTGCTTGGACACAGATTTGAACTTAATATTTTCTCATATTTTCTGTATAATATCATGACTTGTATATTGCAATATTATTTCACATGAAAATTGATTAAAAACTTATTTTATCTGAAAATTATTGGAACTACGAATTCCCAGACGTGTTTGATTAACACATCTTTGCACTTACACAAATTTTAACTTTATCCTTAATATTTAAGAAAAGAAGCGATTTTGTTATGCATTAATGAAAAATATTACATCTATAATCCAGAAAATTCAGAGTAGAAATGTTCGAAATCAAAACCAACTCACAAGTATTATTAGTCTGTGCTCTGATGTGTACAGAGTTTAACAAATTGAACACACCCGTGAAACATAAACTGTTTTTGTAAACAGGGCACGAGCTCTGTTATTGTTAATGTTTACGATTCACCGGGTGTGTTCAATTGTTAAACTCTGCACACACCACTGACCATGGACTTACAATACTGTGAGTGGGTTTTGCTTTCGAACATTTCTACTCTGAATTTTCTGGGTTATAGTTTTAATATTTTTCATTAATACACAACAAAATTGCCACTTTTCTTAAGTATTAAGAATAAAATTAAAATATGTGAAAGCGCAAGGATGTGTCAATCCAACGCATCCAGAAATTTGAAGATTTAATAACTTCGAGATGAAATAAGATTTTTATTATATTTTAGTATGAAATGCTATAGCAACATATAAGTCATGAAATTATACAGAAAATTTGAGAAAATATTAACTTCAAATCTGTGTCCAAGCACCTTTAACAAATTAAAGTCTTAAAATTTTTATATTGCATTTGACATGTGATATCACAGCAATGCCTACCCATAGATAAAATTATTTTGAAATTATGTGAAGAAACTGCAAAGAATTCTACATTTTATAGTGCTCTAGTCAAAAAAAAAAAAAGATTAACAAATAACACTGCAATTATATTTTAGAAAAAATGCATTTTTCAATGAAATATATCTTGGAAAAATAAAATTATGACTCACTTATGGCTAGGTACTGTATGTCCTATGGAATTGGTTATGGTGAGAGTCTGTACCGAGACACATGCATGCAGTTGTAGATTATTCTAATTATTCAGAGATGGGCAAATATGTTGGCCTAGAGAGTAGAGACTGATGTATACAAAGTTAGAAAGTCATAAATTATAGATTTTCCTATAGATCAAAGAAAAATAAATTAGTTGTGGTTGATGTCATAATGTAAATCTCTCTTAAATGTAAATCTCTCTTAAACATGGGTGTCTTTTATTTGTGTCACTGAATCACTATAATTTATAAATCTAATATTGTACAACACTTCATATACATGATTTATGCATAGTCTTAAAAATCATATTCTGAATGAATTTATTTTACAGACAAAATGAGCTATTCCATGAGCAATGTCCATAAAACAGAGAATGTGAGGAAATACAGAGATAACCAGTATGTGAAGGAAAATAATCAAGAAATTTCAAGCTGCTTCTCTCATCCATACTTGTACAGTCACAGTGTTAATTGGACAAAGGAAAACACTGAATATAGTTTGAATGATGACAGTCATCAGAATGACTTCCAGGATCTCTACTGTTCTTGGACTGCAAGTCAGGAGTGTAGACAAAAAGCAGTGTCACCAAACAAAGGATCATTACAAGAACATGAAGGATATTACTCTAGCCCCAGGGAATATTTCTCCAGTAGGATAAACACCAATCATGGAAAAGCTTGTCATAGATCCAAAGTTCCTGCACGATGGTGTTTACATGATCCATGTCACAGTAGATGTAATTTCACATCATTGTGGCAAAATCATCGACCTCAGTTTGTTGCCACTTTACATGAAGAAAGGCACCATACACAGCAGGAACAAGAAGAAATTCCAGCTGGTTGGCAAAATAACTATACCATTTCTAAGCAACATGGCAAAACTCATTGTCCAAGAGGATTATCTGACAAAATGAACAAAGTAACATCAACAACAGACCAGTATAATAATCCTCATTACAACCAGACAACAAGAAGCCCAGAAGAATGGTATACATATCGGGAAAGACAATTGTTACAAATGCAGAACAGTTTTTATCCCTCTTCTTTTATTACTTACTCAGCTGAATCACTTCACTCAACACAAGGACGCCAGCCTCCAGAAGCACTAGAAGGGATTGTCAGGGAAAATCATGCACAGTCCTGTAGAACTGACTCAGAACATTTTTCATCAGGAAGGACATACATGGGAGACAAAAATTCATACACTTTATCCACAACAAAACCATTTATAAATCATGGTTTCAATTCTTTATGTCAATCAGAAAACAAATGGAAAGATTTTGTAAAAAATCAGCAGCTACAGGATATTGAGTCAGACTTCTTATCTACTGATGAAGATTCAAGATTTTCATTTATGGACTCAGATTTAATAGTCTCTCAAGAAAAAAGAAAGGATGAGAAAAATCTGAATTCCCTCTGTCAAGAGATATCCAGAACTCCTGAAACAATTACCAGATCTAACCCTTCTCCTGACGGAAAAGCCAGAGATGG